GTCATATCTTTTGACTACCGGGATATTTTTTTACGGTGTCATAATAAAAAAGGCTAGTTTTTCATAGATCTATCGATTCATACTTATTACATTGTTGGCGGAGCTGGGTATGTTTTGCCCATTGTCCTTTAAGAGTTTTCATTGCTAAAAGATGATATTATTTTAAATGAAAAAATGCGACTCAATCTAACGCCATCGAAGCAGCAGCATTTAATGACACGATTTCATCGCATTGCATTGAGCCCGCGCAGTATTTACTGCTTATAAGCCTGACAACAGTCTGTCCTTATCATGGCTTACAAGAAATGAAAAGGACAGACTGATGTCAAGTTTACAAATAGCGAACACGAATAGCCGAGTGAAGTGGCGGCATTAGAAACAACACGGTCAGCTGGCTCGAGTAACTCGGTTAATTGCATATGTACATACATAAGTAGATCATTGAATGCGGCGCACGAGCTATCTATCTAAGTATCGGCAATTTCCTTTGTTATGGCCTGTTCTATCATAAACCATAAACCTATATTTATGATTAATTTATTTTTAAGCATTTGACTGCTAGATGTTTAAATCTAAAGAAAAGTTTTACTAGAAAAAAATCCCTTCGCAATCCGGGCGAATGCACTGACCAATTATGCTACCACGGCCCTCATGGCCGCGTCGAAATTTTCCTAGCCAAGAAATAGTAATAATAAGAAATAGCAATTATAGTTATGATTAATTTATTTTTAAGCATTTGACTGCTAGATGTTTAAATCTAAAGAAAAGTTTTAATCAAGAATAAACTTTACTTTTTTTTTCTAGTAAAACTTTTCTTTAGTTTTAAACATCTAGCAGTCAAATGCTTAAAAATAAATTAGTCATAACTATAATTGCTATTTCTTCATTCAAATGTTTAATACTTGAAAAAGTATTCATTTGACATTGTGGGTTACCTACCTTGCAGCTTAAGGCTAGGAAAATTTCGACGCGGCCATGAGGGCCGTGGTAGCATAATTGGTCAGTGCATTCGCCCGGATTGCGAAGGGTGCGGGTCCGTAAACCTATATATTTATTTATGTTTTTATTAAACAAAGTTGTGGAAAACGCTAAGTCAAGAGCGGACGCGAGTCTGAGAGACATTTGAGAAATAGGTATGTGAAAAAACTATCGCTGTCGCGTATTGGCAAATACCGTGTGATAGGGACAACAGTAGCTAACGCTGAAAATTGCGAATAAAAATGGCAGAACTCGGGGTTTGGCCCTCAACGATTACCTCCTCGAAAATTGGATACATACGTAAAGGAAATTTTACTCATAGAATAATAATTAGTTGTACTATGCCTCTATGTTTTGCTTTTTCTGTAAATGCTTATTAAAGCTCCACACTAGACATCTTTAGTGGTGTTTTTTTTTTTAATTTGGGCATTTTTAGGGGGTTGTAGTTTCTTTGAAACGTGAGTAATCGAATAAAAGAAGACATAGGAGCATAGAATGAGTAAAATTTTATTTTATGTATGAAAATCTTTTTTTTTGTGATAAAAATCAAGGAGGAATCATTCGAGAGTAGGGCATCGGAACCGGTTCTACCCGAAAGAACCGGGAAAACCCGGTTCTGGGAGTATCTAAAAGAACCGGCTCTCAGATGTGAAACCCCGGTTCTAACGATTCTAACGGTTCTTTCGGTTATGATTTTAAAACATTTTGTTTACCCACGCAAGCTCAAAAGTCTCGTATCCAAATAATAATAAATAGAAATAGCGTTAATTATGCGAAGAGGAGAAATTAGTAACAAAATTTATAATAGCGACAATGACATAGAAGAAAATGATAGTGAAGATAGCGCCGGTTTCAACAACGAGTCGCTTATTCCAGAATCCAGACCTCAACAGTCATTCAGTTATCATGATCTTCATATCTAAAGTTCGAAAAGTGGTCAAAACCTTTAAAAAATCCCCCACAAAAAATGAAATTCTTAAAAAACATCCAATCTGATTTGATTGATGAAAACTGTGAACTGAATTAATTGTTATTAATTTCAGAATTTAAGAATCGATGGTTATGTTTACATTGCAATTTTTAAAGATTCTTGTGTTTCTAATAAATAAATCATTATTATTGATGAAAAATATTCATTGATTTTGAATAAAAACCTCATTATTTGATCAACTACCCTTTAAATATATTACTTACCTCAAAAGAACCGAAAGAACCGGGTACCCGGTTCTGTGTTTTGAAGGGAACCGAAAGAACCGGTTCCGAAAATGTAATCGGTTTTCGATGGCCTAGTCGAGAGCGTTTCTATGGAAAAAACATTGCCCGCCTCTTAAGTAATAAACAAGGCGAATTTTCCGAACGCTCTTTAAATGTATCCCACGATATAGATATATATTATCGTTCAATAAGATTTTTTTAGTTTACTAATGTGCATAGGCCTTGTAATAGTCAGTCAGAAATAATGATACTAAAATGTTGGTATATCAGGCACCGTTGTCTATTCAAGCATTTCGGCGCAAGCGCATGCCGGCAAAATGGAAGCAATTATTGAGAACTATATCTTTGATTGCGTCAGTTACTAACTCAAATAGTTTGGCGTTCCAACGGTAACGTTAGCTAATGCAAATTTGTTACAAAAGTCCAACAAAAGATGCCTGTTTTTTTAAACTTTTGAGTTGGAAGTTGCAATAACGTTCATACAATACAAAGTATCAATACGACATTATCGAACATAATTATGGCACATTTTATATATTTGTTATTAAGTGTTTATTGTGCTATCATTTTACAAAAAAAAACTTCAAAATCAATGTCGTTTATACAGTCTAGGCTGTAACAAGCGCTTGTGAATGTCGAAAAGCTACGCCATCGGTTCGCAAATCTACGCCGGGAGACCTTGTACTGGGAAGAATCGGCAAGGAATTTAGCAAGGGCTGTTTTTTTCTCCCTGTATTATATACAGAGTCGTCAAATTGAAAAATGACTTCAATATGAGATAACTCATGAAGTCACAAATGTAAATGATATAAAATTTACGACTATAAAATAAAAAAAATGAAATAACAGATTTAACAAAGCTGAAGTTTAGGAATGCCGTGTCCTACTGTTTAAGGCATAAGGCATTTTTTTTTTCAAAGGTACCTTTTCATTTTTATTTAATACAATATTTTCAAATTAGAACGTCAATATTTTTAAAGTATAATATTAAGTATGAATTATAATTATCAATTTTTTTATGTAACATCATATATTTATTTTCCTAAAATGAGTCTAGCCCCTGACATGTACAATAACGTCGCTGCAAACCTCTATTTTATAATGCAACTAGCGGCCCGCCCTCGCTTCGCTTCGGTGTAGAGCTGAAGTGTAGACTACAGTTTTTGTTCTCAGGCTTGTATTTTACACAATGACATTCATTTATGATTCATCTTATACCTGCATGTTAAGTCTCAGCCCGATCGGTTTAAAATTGACGAAGTTTCATACACACTTTCATTCCCTATTTTATCCCTTGGGGGTAGAATTGATCAAAATCCTTTCTTAGCGGATGCCTACGTCATAACATCTACCTGCATGCCAAATTTCAGCCTGATCCGTCCAGTGGTTTGGGCTGTGCGTTGAAAGATCACTATGTTAGTCAGACAGTCACCTTTGAGTTTTATATATATAGATAAAAATACTCTGTTCAAGCACCTACAGGCCTCCGAACATATACTGTGTTTTACAGGTTATGATCCTATTTGATGAGAAGTAAATAATAAAAAATAATGTTCAATCACTCACTGATTTTCCTCTGTAGAGTCTCCTTCGGTGGTAGCCCGGGTGGCGCCTGTGTATGGCCAGGATATATATATATATTTTATATATTTTTACGGCCTTGGAGTTTTCCATATTGGCCAGTCATTAGTGGTATGTCATCTATATCTCGCCGAAAGTATTTATAATGAACTCAAGTAGTATTTCATAACACTCTTGGTTTCTAATGATAGATGGCAAATGATTGGGGATATCGTTGTTTTTGTAGGTCTTAAGTAAGCCATCTATTAAAACTAGTCTTTGTAAACTGAAAGCTCCGCATTCCAGGATGAGATGTATGATAGGAAAATAGGGAGTAGAGATAGATAGATACATGTAGGCCTGATCGGCCGCCCGCTTCACAAGCACTCACAATCACTCCACCAACACTGTATACACTTATTCTCTATACTCACTCTCACAAAGCAACAAAATTATAAGTACATTCAACTAATCCGTAAATCTTATTACAATTTTCACTCTAAGCAATTAACAAAACTTCTAACCTCTGAACATTTCAAAAGCACATGACAGCGCAATGACAACGCAGTGACAAATACTCTTTTTTTTAATTGCCATGGATGATCATAGACGTGTGTAAACGTACTCACTACTGTTTATGGAGATAAATAAATAAAAGAGTTACCAATGCGTTAGACCAATCAACTTCGTCTTTATAACAAGAGAACTTCCGTTAATTTATTTCAAATATTTTTCTTATTTAAGACTTCATTTCCGCCACGAGGCAGCTAGTAGCTTGCGATTTGTATTTTTCTTTTATTTTCCAAAACAGCATGAGGTCTCAAAATTTACTCTTAATTTTATTGTTTCTTGTTCAATTCCTAAGCGAAAGTGTCTAGTTTTCTAGATTAATTATCTAAGTTAAATTACTTAATAATTATAAACGAGTAACTGGGCAGGTAATTAACGCATTCACTCTGCGATCGTGGAAGTTAAGCAACTTTCGCAATGTCCAGTCATTGGATGGGTGGCCGAAAACTTATTACCTCGAGCTCCTCCGTCCTTGGAAAGGCACGTAAAACCGTTGGTCCCGGCTGCATCTGCAGGCGTTAACACCCTCTAATCTGCACTGGGCAGGCGTGTGGGTCATATCATAGCCCTACATCCCTATACAATTCAAAGGGAAGACCTGTGCCCCAGAAGGAGGGACATTAATAGACTGATGATTATGAGTAAATGGTTAACAGTTAGTGTTTCTATTGTTGCAGATAGCTTGGCAGGGTGGCGGCGTCCAAGTATGGCGGCGGCGGGCTGTCGCTGGGCGGCGGCGTGCAGCGCGCCATGAAGTGCGCTGGCGACGAGCTGCTACTGGGGGCGTGCTGGCTCGACCCCAAGCTCGACGCCTCGCCCCCTGCGCCCTGCCACGACCTGCTCGACTCCCTCCTCTCCCCGCCCCCGCTCGCCGAACTCAAACCTCTCCCCCCCTTCACCGGCTACACCAGGCACCTCTCAATCAATGGCATCTCCGGACACCACTTCCATGCCATCGCTCAGCGCCTCCCCGAAGAGAACAACAACTACCCCACCCAGAGCGGTTATGGCGCCGATCACGACGTCGTCTCCTCGAGCACTTGTGCCGCTGATGTCGAACCACCGGATTTGGAGGACGTCAAACCGTTTCTCGACACTGACACTAAACCTTTCACTGATGCTTCTGCTGCTGACTCCTGCGCTGCATCCTGCTCGCCCCCAGCTAAACTCTTCGACGAAGGTCAGAAACAGGGAATGTATGACGACATCAGCTCGATAGAAGACATCGCCGCCATCATCGGCTCCGCCATCGCGGACACGACGGTCCCATCGCAGCCCGAGGACCCAGATCGGAATGACTCGCGCGACAGTTGGATGGACATAGACGCGTGGATCGCGGGGGCTTGCAACCAACACGGCGACAAGATAGTACCCCATGAAATGAATGAATTCGTTTTGCCGACGTCGCCGCCGCCTCAGAGCCAACAGAACCATCACTTGGAGTTCAGTTGCAAGCAGAGTCAAGATTTTGCTAAAAGTCAAGAATTCATCCAAAAGAACTTGGGTCAGGCTGGGTCTACGCTACAGACGTTACTGACTCACGGGTACATGCCTCTACTTCAGAATCGGTTACAGAACGGTCCGCCTGTGAAGCAAGAGGCGCCGAGTTCCACCAGCTACGGTATGGACGTGATATCGACGTCGTCTCCGCCCGGTAACGCCGTGTCGACGACAGACGGTGTCAGTGGCATCCTGAACGGCCGGTACGCGTCGCACTATGCGCTTGGCTTGAAGCCAGACGGGTTGTGTAGCCCGGAGAGACTGCTGGGCTACCCGCACGCACATACCACCACTGCCACTCCTGCCAGCAAGAGCAAAAGGAGTAGGGTGAAAGCGAAACAAGGCAGCGGGAACATGCACGGCGGCTCCCTCAACTTCCCTTCAGCTACGGCCGCCGAACTCAGCGGTCTTTTGGGCAAAGAGAAGCCGGTCCATCGCTGCGGCATCTGCAATAGAGGATTCCTCAACAAATCAAATATTAAAGTGCATCTCCGCACGCACACCGGGGAGAAGCCCTTCAGGTGTGACGTGTGCGCGAAGGCTTTTAGACAAAAAGCGCATCTCATCAAACACCAACAGATCCACAAAAGGATCGGGAGGGACTAAAGTAGTTATTACTTAGATAAGTCGGCACTAGCTCAAAATGAAAGCATTTTAATAGTTAATAGGTTGTGCGTATGTGATTGGCGCGTGAATACCTCGGCCCGAGAATCTCATTGTAGGATATTTTGTGTGCGTGAGTTTCATTGTCTTCTAACTTAGTTAAGAGCGATGTTCATAATGATATTATTATTATTTTATATTAATAACCCTTAGTATAACATTCCTAAGGACAAGTGCAATGTTGACTAGTTTTAAGTTTTTAATTGTAGATAATTGTTTATATTTTGTTGCGTGGCGAGAGATCTTCCTGTATCCTCCATTCCACTTTCGAGCTCTGTTGTATAGTATAAATCCGTCTTGTTAGTTAAGTGTCTTCTATTCGGTTAAGTGTCGCGGTCCTCGGATACCAACTGATGTGTTCTCAAAGGCAAGTTTTAAAGTGGATTGAACGGACAAAACATGAACGAACTGTTTCAAATCTATTATTTATATAAATGCGTTTTTTTTTGTTGTTGTATGTAAATGGTTACTCCGATTACCTACTTATAGTCAAATTATTGCGTAGTTTTTGTAATGTATATTGGTTAGTACTTAAATAAATTAAGAGGAATAAAGATGACAAAGCTAACGAGGCTACATTATTATGTTAACTGACTTTAGCTACTACGAAAGTCTCGCTTTAACTCTATCCTATCTGAGGATATCATCTACATATCTAATTTTCATTCTTCCATTTCATTATTAACACTAGCATGGTATTTACATATTATATAGTAACAATAATATTTTACATACATGAATACATTATGTAGGGTAATCTTATTAAAATCATGGTTTTACGTTTAGTTCCCTCATATACAAACAGGACACCATTTCATTTCGTTGTATCATTTATTATTATGTATTTAATGAAATAATAAAATACATAAGGTCATAATATTGTTGTCACACCTGAGTTATTCCTTTTTGGTCACAGTCAACTTATCACAAGAAGATTACTGGTATAATTAAAGCTAATGAGACACTACAAAGAGCTTTACTTATTGCCAAGAGTCAAGGTATTCGCTTACTGACAAATCATAGTGCTTACTTAATAATCGCAATTGGGTACACTAAAAGGATGTCATAGCTTAAACTTAGCTCTAAGCTTGTGATGTACCTAACATAAGGTACGAACTTTTCAATTTTCATCTTCAAATGTTTAAACTCAGACAAGGATCTAACGTGTTATTGACAGTGAATATTCAACAATGCATTCCACATTGGACTGGTATTTTGCACAGAAATAGTTTTAATTATATGAGTCGTATAGTATCAAAGGCGGCAAAGTAGGGCGAACCAAATATTAGGCAAATCAAAAAAAAACTGTTTAGTCTCGTCTTTAAGGGAGGATAAAATATTGACATTTCACTACGATTATAAATATGGTGCAATATGAATAAATTTAAGAATAATTAAAACAAAAAATATACTATAACAATGAACCTAAAACTAAAAACCTTAAAAAATAAAATATAATAACTAAAATACATTATTAAAAGGAGTCCCTTTAGGCAAGGTTCCGAAGATACTGGCAGCGTTCCCCCTTTGGATAGCTAGACTTATTCTTTGTCCGAGGTAGCTGCCAGCTCTTAGGTCTCCTGTGATGTCGACTAATCTTTTCGCTATTTCTTTAAAAAGCCTTATAGCGCTAGGACCCCACGGACCAAGGGTCTCGACACCGAATGGGACAAAATCATATTCGGAGCCTAGACCCCTGTATTTGCCTGCCTTAACTTTTTCAGCCGCTTCACAAGCCGCACCAGCTCTGTTGTTGGTTCCATGTAGATGGGAAGGGGCCAGCGTGTCTGAACAGGTTGCATCCCATACTAGCACCCGACCCATCTTCCATGGAATCAAACTCATACCGTCCGGTCTCTTGCCATCGTCTCTTGCAATACCAGTTGGCTCAAGTAGACTTGGCACGTTGACGGTGGCAAGGGACCGGCGTATGATATCGTTAAGTGCGGCGTGTCTCGAGAAGCGGCCTGCACTTTTTTGGCAAGACAGTCCATGATGTCCTAGCTTGTCGACATCACTGCCGCAGGGACATTTATGAGGAGCGCAGACCGGGACCCCAAGCCGTAGACAGGTTGCCATTCGGAGTGTGTCAGGCTCAAGAAATGTGCCTGTATTTGTCGAAGGGTACGCGTGAAGCCAGTAGCCGGTCTCATGGCCCACGGCCAAAAGCCTAGCACGCGCCGAACCTGTACTGCAGCTCAAAAGGTTATTATAAGTTAATTTTTTTTTTGATTTGCCAAATATTTGGTTCGCCCTATTTTGCCGCCTTTGATACTATACGACTCATATTATAAATTTTTCGTGCGATCCTTGGGTTAGTGCGGGCGCACGCGAGCAGCGGAACCGCCGCGTCCGGGAAGCCGCGGCAAAAAAACGACGCACTAAATAGTACCGATCCGCTGTTACACAACAATGCCCGCCAATTAGGACCGTCCATCGATGAGTTATGATTGATATTATCCCGAACAGAACTTCGTATTATACCGATCGTATAGAAGTGATCGACGCGATTGAACATTTTTACGTTCTCATAATTTACTGCTCAATTCTAGCGGTACATAAGAAATGATTTTCTTGAAATACTTTCAAGAAAATAAACTGAAATCAGATTGTTTTAAAATTCACTTTTTCAAATCGTTCTACAAACATTGATCGTTAAATGCGTGCGTTAACTATAGTTTTATTCAGATAGACATGAGTTATCATATTCATAAATCAACATTTTACATATACTAAACAAACATTTAGATATTTAAACCATCAAAAAAATCACTTTCATCATATTAGTTCATTCACAATCATGGAAATGCACAATTCTTTCATTTTCAAATTCATCTCATGTTGATTGAATTTTATCATTATTTCACGAGTAGTTAATTAGACAATGAGTGTGAAAACGCTCGTCTGTATAGCCCTGGGGTAAGAGCGGTTGACATGCACGCTGTGAGAGAAACGCGCAGTTTTAAAAAAATATTAACGTGTTATTCTCTAATATAACTCAACGTTGAAGTCGACTGCGAGATCACAATTGCATGAAAGTTAAATAAACTCGCATCGGCGAAAGTAGTTTTATATGAATTAATGAAATTGAACTTTGTATTTTAAATGATACTGCAGTATCGTAGCAGTTATCTTAGAGAATAGCACTGCTGAAGTCCCTGTTTTAAGGGTGTTTTCTGAATTACTCCGAATAAAAATATCCGTAAGACTATGGCCCTTGATCTTTCATTTCTTTGGTACAGGCTACACATAAAGTTAACACAAACTGTAAAATTCTCCAATAGATTTTGAGACTTATCTTAAGCATATAAAGCTCAAAAATTTTGAAAGAAATCAAAAGTTTTGGGTAACTGTGCCTTTGTAAAGTGGTCATCCGTATGTGGAGCGCTATGAAGACAAGCTCTGCATGCAAATGAAAACCATATCAGTCAGACGACATCAATTATTTATAACTTTTTTTAAATATTTAGTGTTTGTATATTAATCTAAAAATAAACACTTAAAAGACTGGTGTTTGGTGCTTATTATAAAGATAAAGTTTAAATGTGTTATCTAAAGCCTAATGAATAAATTGAGCGTGTATAAAATGAGAGGTGTTTTAAACTCAGCGTTTCTCACTCGTGTATAGTTACACCTAAAAAGTACCTTTGCTAGCTATTAGGCGTTTAGAAATTAAGTATTTATTTTATATTGTAATATTACTGTAATTATTTTATGTAATGTAAAAAATTCTGGTGCGCGATGCCCGCGCGATCTAATGACTTCTGAACACAATTAGTATTAAGCAGAGAACGTTATATTTTTAAAAGAGGTATTGTCCATTCGTTTCGTAAGTAAAATGTAAATTAATGTAAAAATAAACAAGATTTTTTTTTGTTAACGATAAAGCTTTCGTTTTATTTGTTCATTCAGTGGCTGATATGATACTCCGTGTGTATGTAAGTATGAGGTATATATTTTACTTACTATCCTCAAGAGATGGCGTTACCTGCACTGCGATCATAATAGTATGGAAGCCTACATCGCGCAAATGAAATTCGGAGGCTAACTCTTCATATATACGATGCCCGACCAACATCAGTCGGGCCGCGGCCCCCGAGCTATCTGATTATTTATAATCAAACGAACTCAAAATCTAACACTAACAATGCAACCGTAACCAAATTAAAAAAAGGGTTTGTATAAGAAAATTTAGCTCATGGTTACTTAAACTAACATAGGACGAAACTGAGAATCTATTTATTGCTCACCACAGGATTTTATACCGCAAAAAATATCATCTGTCTGTCTTACACATACCATTTTATTTATACACATACATAATCCTTCACGCCCACTTTTACACACGTGTCTACTATAGCGCCTACACCAAATACAAACACATACTAATAATAATGATGGATTATTAACCACTTAGTGGTTAATAATCCATCATTATTAGACATCTGTTCGAAAGGTACTTTGAACGATCCACGGAGCTCCATAAGATGATCGCGTTGTCAAAAACAATGTTGGCACGCTCGTCGCCTCTGATCACTGTTTTCATATTTATAATATTTATCCACATGTTTCTAGTTTCTATATAGACACAACGTGTTTTAGTTACTTACAAGTGCTAATTACATATGGACTAATAACTTAAATTCAGTAGTGATTTTAATTGAATATTTTGAATATTTATTTAATTTTTACAAATTAAAACTGAACTTAATTGACTGTGTTAACTATCCTTTTCCAGTCCTTTTATTATTTTATTGTAATTATTAATTATTTGCATCCAATTAAAAAATATTTTTAATGATGCTAAAGAAGTATAACTTCTCACGCGCGTACATAAGTTACACGCATCCATTTTTTTTAGTGTTTATTGTTACTAGTTATCATGTTCGAGGTGGGGCGCTAATAACTGCGACACAGTCTCTGACTAATGTAGTTATTAACGTTTTACATTGTTATGTACAAACTATTTAATTGCAAATAAAGATTTTTATTATTATTATACGTTTGTGTCGATGGAAGTTTTCTTAAAATGCATCTTCTTTTTAATGATAAAGTTAAAAGCGTCCAAGAATAACTTTTAAATTTCATAATTTACAAGTTATTCTTGTTTAATCACATATTTATTTACATTCGTCGATCACATGACATGAAACACACGCAAGCTGATCACAAGCTGTCTCCAACTCAGTGCTGCCATTTTAGCGCTTTGGGCGCTAGATCTAGCGCTATTTTGGTGTGGTTAGCGCCTATTTCTAAATTTTTGCGCCTAGCGGATAATCTGGCGCTTTTTCATTTATATCATTGTAACTCTCTATTACCGATAATATATTCATTTATCGCCTCGGGAAGCCCCGACAGATTAGGATTGGGACATTTGAAAAATAATGTAAGACAAAGAATACATGAATGGCCAGAATGAAGCTGGCCCAATTTAAGCTATGGACGATAAATTTTGGATTGACGAAATTTTGACGTTTTGGTTAATTCTTGTCTGTTTTTTATTTGATAAAAAAACTGAAATTAATTTAGCGCGTAATCTAGCGCTTTTTTAAATCGCGTTTTTCTTGTAATCTAGCGCTTTTTATATCATTTTAGCGCTCAATCGGAATTTTGATCTGGCAGCTCTGCTCCAACTATAAAAACGTGCCGCAACAACAACAATGCTATAGGAAATAGAAAACGATCGATCGCGAAGCACTATGGGGTTCCCATGGCAAAATGAGTAGATTCTCTAAATATAAATACGCGGGTACACATGTGGGTCACGCTAGACATCGACGCAAACAAAGGTGTGAACACTCGCGAGAGATCCGCCGTTCACAGCAACGATGAAAGTCGGATGTGAAAATTGACACCGCACAAACATATGTACTTACTTAAGTACAACCAAGAAAATCGCCTTTTGTCACCGCCGATGTGGAAGCTTCGCTATATTTTCTATTCGTATATTACGATAGAGTGTACGATACAGTCAACCCCTTCAGATTCGAGTGGTCTAGAGGCTCCAGACGGATAGGAGACTCGCCCCGTGGGGAGATGCCATTCGCCTGGAACACCTCTAGAGGCACTCGCCAATTCTCGGCTTGAGGTCTACTTAGGATATCGCCGTCCCCAAACCCGGTGACATTGTAAAGGTCACCGGCGACTTACAGCATACACACTCAAAAAAACAACGGTACAGTCGAGTAAAGTTAAAGTAAATGCAAAAGTCCATGTTAAATTAATCAATATTTCCAACACACACCAATTCGCCTAGCCCCAAAGTAAGCTCTGTAAGGCTTGTGTTATGGGATACTAGGGTAACGGATAGAGGACTTAAACTAATACATATATAAGTAAAATTCAAAATTAAAAAAAATCAAAATTCAATATCGTTTATTCAGTCTAGGCTGTTACAAGCACTTGTGAATGTCGAAAAGCTACGCCATTGGTTCGCAAATCTACGGCGGGAGACCATGTACTGAGAAGAACCGGCAAGAAACTCAGCAAGGGTATTATATACAGAGTCGTTAAATAGAAAAATGACTTCAATATGAGATAACTCATGAAGTCACTATACAATAAAAAAAAAAATGGGTGCGTTATGTAGGCGCGTGAGAAGTTATCCTTCTTTGGCATCGTTTAAAATTAGTTTTTAAATGCATGCAAATAATTAATTACAATAAATTAATAAAAAGTCTGGAAAAGGACGAAGTCAATAAAGTTCAGTTTTAATTTGAAAAAATAAATAAATAATCAAAATATTCAATTAAAATCGCTACTGAATATAATTTATTAGAATATATGTGATTTGCACTTGTATGAAACTCAAACACGTATTCCGAATATACAAACTAGAAACATGTGGATAAATATTATAAATATGAATACCTATAACTGTTACTTTATTACAAAAAATAAAGATGTGGTTTTTGGTTCTACTACACCAATGGTCAAGAGATGGCGCTGTAGTCTCCTGAATCGCGCTTTGGTTCCGTTGTTCCAGATTAATAAATACTTTTGATAGGCCTTCACAATGCACCCACAAAATAGAGATCCTATTTCTATCTTGTTGGTAGATTTTCTTAATGTGCGGTAAACACAAAAGTAACGCATGAAGTTGGTCGCTAAACTTCATGCTGTTACAATTTT